ATGGGCAAGAATTTAAGATGCAGAAAATTTAAGAAGATAATTGCCCAAGTTGGAGTCTGGCCAGGTAATAACCTTAATGAGTAATGAGGTGAAATGGATTGGGCTGTGGTTTACATTTCATTTAAAAGACAATCCCTCCAGCAGCCCAAATATGATGTAGACACAGTATTACTGAATGAACTGCCTGCCTTAAAAGTGTCCACAGGATGAGCCATCTCCCAGAATAACATGGCCAGGGTAGACAGGGGGCTTCCTCCCTTCAGTTAAATACTCAATGTGATCCCTTCTATGTGCCAGGCACTGAGGAAAGAAACACAATCAAAAGGAGATATTTTCCCTGCCTTCATGGTACTTACCATGGTGTAGTGCAGGTAGACAGTCACTAAATAATCACACAAATATATGTGACTCTACACTGGGATAAGAACTATGACAGCGTTTGGCCTTAAGAATCATCACGTTCCCTGCCATAGGAAACTCTTTGGTTTCGACATCTACCTATTAAAGAAACCAGACTCTAATGGAAATGAAACTGAGATTGGCTCAGTGTTCTAAACCTCTTATTTGATGCTTAGCATGTTATCTTATATTGTTGGTTGTTAGGTGTAATCCTCTTTCCCAACAAGAAAGCAAAACCCTCAAGAATAGACACCATCTATTATGCCTTTTAAACCTCTAAAGCACTCACAGGGTCTCAATTATACAGGTGAGCACACAATGTTGGCTGTTGCTGTTTTCTTTAAAGAGCAGATCAAGCCCACGGTTTCCCTGATTCTCTCATTCCACAACTATGTACTCAGAACCTAACATGAGCCAGAGTCTGTGATATGAGCAGTTGAGGCAGTGCCCTCATATTTTCACACCAAAATCAAGAATTTCTGAACTTGATGTTGACTAGAAGAAACCCTGTCTATAACCTCAATTTTCATTTGAGGTTATACTCATTCTCTCTTTTCAACATAGCTCTATCCAAAAAGGAGAAATCCAGAGCAGTTGCCTGAGAGCAATATGTATAATAAACAGGCATTTAGGAAGAGACCTAAAAGATGAGAAATTACTATACAAACCACGGTAATGATGAAAATAACCTTCTATTTCCAACAATGATAAGAGACAGTGTGACTGGATATAATCATTCTGACTCAGGTACTGGGGCTAACTTACAGGGTGGAGGACAGAATTATACTCCCATGTAAAGGCAAATCGATGGGCTGGCCACCAGGTCTTGTCCCCACATAACCACGGTGAACTCAGTGCCAGAACACCATTGAGTAACACTCCCTAGTACCCAACTAAGGACCCTTAAAACAAAGAATAATTTCTGTTCAAGAAAAGTAACATCACCCTATAAAAAAAAATGGGTCCACAGTTGAGCTTGCCCTCACTCTATTACTCTGGGTGACTGGCTGATCATCTTTCCCAGTGGGCTGCGTGTCCAGCTGAAAAACTATAAGGGACACAAAAGACTCAAACAACAGAGTTCAAGGGTCCACTAGCATGCTAACCCTGGGACCTATGGCAAAATCCAAATGGACTACCTACTGTAATGGTCTATTTTCTTGGGGTCCGAGCAGCTATGTGGACTCAGAATTCCAGATTTTAAATGATCCTTAACCCTGTGCTTCAGTGTTACCTACATACCTCAGAGAAGAGTATTTTCATAGTAGCCTCAATATCACATATTAATCTGCCAAGATTAATGGCTTAATCCAGGGGAAGCTCTCAAGACAATGACAAGATATAAGTATTTATGCAAGATTTCTTTAAAATATCCTTAAATTTTTTACCCCTATCGTGTGGTAGAAAGATGGAACCTGTCAACTGGCAGTCCTGAGTTCTTGTCCCTGTTCTGCTACATACTGGGATCATGATCTTGAGACTGTTTCCTCATCTCTGATTGTAATGTTGGCAGGAACAACAGCAGCAGTAATTGTTCAATAATAGTATAATACCACATAGAACTGCTGTGCAAATTTAATTTTACATTGCAGTAGTTAGTTATTACTGATTTTTTTACTTAAGCAAAAGGTGACTATTCTTTATGTTTATTGAAATACAAGAAACAAAGGATAAATGGAGTTTGGGTCTCACATTTAAAGCTACTTTTTTACACAAGTATTCCCTATTCCTGATTAGGATCTAATTCAATCAATATTGGTTTCTCTTTAAAAAACAAAAGGCTTAGGGGACATGTACAACAGATAATCCAAATGCTAAGTGAGAAGTCACCTGGAACATAAAGATGCTCAAATCACAGAAGACTAGAACATGAAGAGACTCACATCAAAGGCTTTCTCCCTAAGAATCTGATCTAAGCTCTGCAAAACTCACACAGTGAAATCATCATTTCATGGTTATTTACATAATGTCACAACTTTAATTACTGCAATCCATATCAAGAATGAGCCCACTTCCTTTGGTTTAAATACCACATTTTAAAAAATCGCAACAATTAGTGTGAACTCAGAAGTCTGAGAGACCAAAGTATTCTGTTAGACTCACTGCCTCTGTGAAACAGTGTGGGCAGACAAAGAGAATGAAGATCACACTCTAGATGGGAAAGGGTTGGGTTCAACTAGAGCTAACAGCCATTTCCTTCATACACTCTTGGTGTGACATATTAGGATTGTTAACACAGGACAGAAAGATTCTGAAATTAGAATGGTACCTAATAAATCTTCAAATTGGGGCTTTGTTGACTGGCTCCATAAAATGTGGCTCCCCTCGACCACTCCTCTCCCAGTCCCACCACTACTCTGATGGCATCTCCTGCCACAATCCCTTCACTCGTTCCACCCCAGACACTCTGGCCTCTTTGTTTCCTTACCTGGCCTAGGAATGCTCCCAGGTTCCTGCCTCAGGCTGTTACACATGCCTTCCCTCTGCCTGGAATGCTTATCACCAAACAGATGATCTTTGGTCAAATATCACCTTGCCAGTGAGACTTCTGTCTGCCCTAATTAAAACTGCAACCCTTCCTTCCCCCTTTAATTTTTTTTCCCCAAAGTACTAATCGGACATAGTATACACATATAGTTTTAATTATTACTTCATTTTCCATCATTTCCTCATCAGAATAAGAGAGTCTGTTTTCACCTGTTTTCTTTCTTTATTCACTGCTATACTCCCAGTATCTAGTACAGTGCCTAGCATGTAGTAGACTCTCAGTAAATATTTACTAAATGCAGTGAGTAAATAAATAATTAGGCCATGAAAAATGACAAACTATTTATAAGGCTACCAAATTCAAACCTTCAACTTCCTTGAAGAAAGAAAGGCAACAACAGGATTTAGGATAACGTGATTATGAGGACTTAGGGAAGTATGATATGGCAGAGTAACATAGGCTGCACAGGGAAAAGACACAGCTGTTATCCCATGACCCACCTCTCTCAAAGTGTTCTCAAACTTACGAGTGCCTAAGAATCGCCTTACTGCTTGTTATAAATACAGATTCCCAGGCCTGTCTCCAAAAAGACTAATTCAGTAGTGATTCTAACGTGGGTTGTCCAAAGCCCACCCCTTGAGAAACACTGCCTCAGCACCACTCCTGGTTAGGTGTGAGACTTAGGAGAAGGCAGCTCTTGTCCATGTAGTTCACCAAAGCAATTTTAATTGCTACCATGGTGTAGGAATAAGCAAAAGTTCAGACAAGCACAAGAGATAATCTGTTGCACATGTTTACTTTAACTAAAAGTGAGTCTCTCTCTCTAGTCATAAAGATTTCCTGTGGTACTTAAATAGTGTTATGCCCAGGAATGTTGTTATTCCAGGTAAGTACCTTGGTTCAAAGGCCATTAAACCAAGTCCACACTAAGTAGGCTTAACTCATGGCAAATTCTGGTTTTGCAATACCAGGTATTCAGATGGCCTGTTTTGTGTTTTTCATAAAGGTCATACCTACCCCATGCTTCAGCCACATGGAAAACCACACCTTAGATAAAGCAAAAAGCACATGACTTCCCAGAGTGACAATATAAACAAAGTGAAATCATAATGGCTCCAAATTTGATCTTGGATAACCAAGCAAACCCACGACCCTCACCAAAGAAATCAGGAAAGCCATTCAAAACACACCTCGGAGCAAAGACTTTTCTTAACAAAATAGCTGCTGCTTTAAACACTAGATCACTCTATCAAAAAAACATAGGTCCTCTTCCCAGTTTGCCACTTATTCCACTGAAATGCTGCAAAGAGCAGCCAGTTACACTCTGTGTCAAGGATGGAACTAACTGTGCAAACAGATGCTTTCTCCAAATTCTAAGGAGTGACCCTAATCCATTGGCTTTTACTCAAAGCTTCTAAATTTGTTTTTCAAGTATAGAAACAGCTGATGCATATTCCTGTACAGAAAACTCTAGTTTCTGGAAGGCCACCAGTGTGTGTGTGCCGAGCGGCGGTGGGGGAGAGGAGAAGGGAGGTGCAGAAGAGTGGTTATTTTTTCTTCTATTTCATATGGACATGTCTCTTTACTCAAGTCTTTTGTCCCAAAGTTTAAAATGCTCTTTGCAGAGCTTGGAAATAACAGCCGTTGGGGCTGGAAAATCATTGGTGCCCAGCCTGGTTCACAGGCATTCCTGGAAGTGTTCATTTATAATAAGTACTAACTTTGAACCATATAAAAGAAATTCTCATGCAGGTCTAGGGAATCACTGACCTCATGAATCTATAGTGTTATCCCAAGTTAACTATGGGCTGCTCTATACGATAGTGAATAGTTATAATAATTTCTTGAGTAAGTAATTTATTATGAAATAATACTAATTTTGAAAGATGACATACCGATATCTTACGAAAAGCTCCATGACATCTGACATATTTTGCAAATATAAACTAGAGCAGGTAAGGTGTGTGATGATCCTCCAAAGAATCAAAAAATTAGGGTACCATGCCACCTGAATATCCCTGACTACCTTTCTTTCCAGACAGGTAGGTGCCCTGCTAAACCCACAACAAATTCCAAGTTAGTGGTGGCCAATGAACTTTCTCAATAAACTCACCTTCTCTCCTTGGAGTGATGGGACTGAGTCCCGCAAACTGTGAAAGCTGTCTTTGATGTGGTCCCTACGTTTTCGTTCCAGTGCATTATGATGAGCCCGTTTGTCAGCCTAGAAGAATGGGAGAAAGAGCACATGAGGAACATCACCCTTTTCATTGGTACAAGGTGGGTGGGGTACAGCCTGGAAGTATATGCTGTCAGCGCTGTCCCTGGCGAGTGGACTGGGAAGGATTTGTCGAGGTGGGCAGTTAGGAGTCTCCAGAATTAGGTTCTGCTAAAGGGGGAGAAAGGAGTGAGCAGGGCTTGCGACAGGAACATCCAAAGTAGCTCGATGCATCCAGCTCATGCATAGGTAAAATAAAAGTTATTCATGGGGACAAAGTGTGACTCTCCTGCAACATCAGTGCCCTCCCCTCCAACTTACTTATGTGACAGAACAGCCTCCAGTCCATGGTTGGGAGGTAACCAGGGAAAGCTCCAGTGGGCCCCTTCATAAGATGTGATCACCCCCACTGTAAGAGATTCCCCGGGGTGGGTGCCCAGGGGAGGAATTAAGTCACTGATGCAGTGCTACTTTCTATGTGAAACCCATCACCGTGCATCTCTGGTCTGGTCTCCAGCCTGCTAAAATGCACTAATTTAAGACCTTCTCACTAAATCACATAATATAAACTAAAACCTCTAAAAAACCCAGATGCATGAATCTGAAATCATTACAACAAATCTGATAGAAATGCTAACTGCATTTTGAGTTTCTGTTTTTTAAAGTAGATCTAAGGTGCTACCCTGCCAAGGGCTTCTCTTCACAAAGGCTGTGCCAGAAAGGCATTCACAAAGGCAGTTCTTTGATGGCAGACCTTCTGACACCCATGTGCTCAGAATAAATTTCCTCAGGCACCTGTGTCAGGTCAGGCTAATTTGGCAGTATCTAAATATCAGAACCGAAGTCTTTACCCTGTCCTGCTTGAAATCACAAGGAAGAGCAATCAGTTGGAGAGGGACGAAGATTGCCAACAAATAGGAAGGGCAACACCGCACTGGCCTCAGGCAGAAGATACAATGCTGGAGAGCACTGCAAGAGACTGTCAGCAGGTCCCCATTTAGGGACCCTCCAATTGGAACACAAATGCTTAACCCAAAGCAAGAACTTCATCACACCTACACTCTGGAAATTATGGAAAATAAATTCTGGGGATTTACCTTTAATACACAAGGTTGCACTGAACAACCTAAAGAACAAGTCTGTATATGGGAAGTTCAGGCAGCTTTAATACACACAGACAGAGTAGTAGAAATTTTAAAAATGAAACAAGAGTAAATAAGAATGATGCTGCCTCAAATAAATCACTGTACTAGATGAGAAGTACAGACAAAAATCTACTATAAAGAGTTGTGGGAATAAAAAGATTTGAAATTTTCATGCTATCTAATCCTAGAAGTCTGACTCATTACAGAGGAAGAGGAGGCTGGGGGCAGCTGTGATCATTTCAGTTACTTCCTGGTGTCTCAAGCACATCACCTCAGCAACAGCTCTGTTGAACCAGACATGCAGCTCCCATCATGGCCATGGTTTTTCACAGCATATCACTCGTTTTGGGGGCAGACACTTGGAACACTTCTAAAGCTATCCTAATCTTGTTAAGTCTGACTCACTGTAAAATGAATGTTTACAGAACTACAGGGACATACGGAATGTTATGGGGAAACTGAGGAGACAATTAAACTTAGAGTACCAGATAATCTGAGGCAGGTACTCTGTATCATACAATTTTCTTGAGCAAGAAAACTGTAGGTGTCTTCTAATAGCAGTATGAAATAGCTTGAAGGAATTAAAGTATGTAGTACTTTTCTAACATCCTGTTCTATGTAGTCATCTATACAAAGGTAAGTTGAGCTGGGACAAGGGTACTTCTAAAAGTTCATGGAAAAATAGAATTAAAAGATAATACAAATATTTTCATGAACTTTCTGAAGACCTCTTGTATACACAAGGAGCTTAGAAGGCTGAGGGACATCATTTCGCAGTATCTGCCTCTCCTGTGCTTGCTATATACTCCCTATGATAGTTTTTTACATGCAAATTAACCCCTCAGCTTTTATCTCCAGCAGCAGCCCTCTTCTCTATGAAATCACCCTGATTCGTGGGCCTCCTCTGAGCTTAAGATTTGTGCACAGAAGTAGTGACACCAGAGTTACCCACAATTCCTCTTGTTGATACAAATAAAATTCTAATTGTTTTCTTTCTGGGAGAGACCTGCAAATCTCAAACAGCTAGAATCAAATTGGACTTGGTTTCACATGCGCCTGCACTAGAGGGGTGGAGCTAAGTATAATCTAACAGCAAAACCATCCCCACAATGCACTACCCCCCTCCCATTCACTGAGCCCTGAAAGGACTCAAATGGACAAGTCTTTCGGTTAGAGGATTGTAAGTGAACTTGGCTGTGGACCATCAGCAGAAATCTTGGCTTCTCATCTGGGGAGCCAGCCAAGTTTGAGAAGTTGGCTCAACAAGGAAAGGCAGCAGTCCACTGCCTGGTAGAAAGCCTGGGCTGGGGACTGTTGTTCTCAAAGCAGTGGATGGAATTTCTGTGGTGATTCCAGGCCCAATTTAACTAGCAGAAGAGTGGAATCTTAGATCAATCCCTGCTGCCATGTCCATCTCTGAACTGGTACATCTAACCAGAGTCCATTTTAAAGCTCTCAAAGACCATGGCAAGGATATATTTTTCTCTTCCCTAATCCTCACTTGAAAGAGCTAGTTAAAAACACGCAGAACTAACATGCCCAATTCCAGGCAACTGAATTAAATGGTTTCACCAGTGGCGTCAAAGAGTACATGAAAAACTGGAAGACCTTTACACAGGCTAAGAATTCTCTCTAGGAAACATTTCCAAGCCACAGATTCATCCAGCCTGATAAAACTGTCCCTTACCCCCCACCACGAAAGGCCAATTGGCAGGCTTATCACTGACTGCCTCGTTAACTGTCTTCATTTGCTGGCAACTCTTTTTGAAAGGGCCATGATTTCAGAGTTGAGAAAGAAAAACTGGGGGAAGACTTCCAGTGTTAGGCATCTGAGATCCTCCCACAAACTCAAAACTGGCTTAGACGAAAGGAGGGGTGGGGGTGGCAAACAATCGTGTCTTGAACAAGTAAAACTCAACTCAGATGAGCCAACTTTCTCTCACCTGTACTGAGAAAGATGTTTGATAATGAAAACTGGTGGTACTGAAAGCACATTTGTGGAATTAATTAGGCACTATTCTAGGAGACAGCAGAAGTATTCTTGGGCTCTACAGGAAGCCCCCTATTATCTCCCCTACAAACCCTATGGGAGCAGTGGCTGGACTCTGCCCATTCTTCCAGTACACTGGGTTTGTGGTTTCTGCTAGAAAACCCTTACTTCAGGGGATCCCAGACTAATAGAAATACTAAGGGACTATGTGATACCAAAGAGTGGCCCACAGATGCTCAACGGGAACTACAGCAACAAATCACTTCCAGCTTTGACATCTCTGCCAAGGTTTTTATTCAGCCTCTCAGTTTTATTTCTACCAAACTTTCCACACTGGCAGCCAGAATAAAAATCTTCACCTGTGATTTGTCCATCTTTGACACTAACAAGCATGTGTATCTTAAGTGTTGGTAAATGTTGAAGGCAAACATTATTTTGTTAGCCAAGAAGTTACTAAACTGGCAGGAGGTCATCCAAGCTAAGGAGGTTTTTTCAAAATCGAAGGAAATCTCACAATACCGGCCAGCTGCCAAAATTGAGGGAAATCTTTTAAAATGATTTCCTTCCAACTTATTGCACAGAGAATGAATCTTTGTTCAAGGCATTACATCAGACAGCAGCGTTATTTCCTGCAAGGTCTAGGCAAATAGTATGGGGAAATAAATGCTTCCTTATTCAAGGATGCACAAGGTTCTCCAGAACAATGCCACTTCTTGCAATCTACCTGACATCTAAACCCATCTATGTAAGGAATCTTCTCAATTCCAATATAGAAATTCTCTGCATATAGGGACTTAGAGTTGCCCACTAAACATTTACTACCTTTAAGAAATTTAAACATTGTATCTTAAAGGGAAGGTAGTGTCTTGTATGATTACTATCAACTAACTCTTATTAAACACCAAGGACACTGAAAATACACAGCCCCCAAATTCTCATCAGAAAGGATCCATTTATTACTTGATAGATAAGAACCAGATAGAAAAATAAAACTGAGTTTCTAAGCAACTTAAAATATTCACTTTAATCAACATGAAAATTGCAACATGAAATAATGGGCAGCTAGGATGAGATAAACTCCCTAAGGTCCCTAACAAGAAATTAATTTCGACTTCCCAACACCTCTCCCATGACTGAAGCTGAATGCCGGGCACACATTTCCAACATCATCCAAATAATACATTTATTTTCAAGGCTTTTCCTATCATTTGGTATCTAAAAGAAATTGGGAATACTATTATCCAAACAAGGCATCAAACAATAGCCATTTAAGAGGAAGAACGCCTGGGTCAGGAAATTTTAATTGAAAACCATGCTGGAGGGCCGGCCCGTGGCTCACTCGGGAGAGTGTGGTGCTGATAACACCAAGGCCGCGGGTTCCGATCCCATATAGGATGGCCGGTTTGCTCAATGGGTGAGCGTGGTGCTGACAACACCAAGTCGAGGGTTAAGATCCCCTTACCGGTCATCTTTTTAAAAACAAAAAAAAGAAAACCATGCTGGATTCCTTGATCAACTATTTCACCATTACTGGCATTTTGAGAAAAGATTCTTTTAAATGTAAGAATATCTTTTACTCTAGTAAACAGGCATATCCAGGAACTAAACCTGGCATTTCTGATATCACTATTGACACTATTGACACTCTAAGCAAAGACAAAGTATATACATTGTGCAGCACTTTTGCCATGCAACTGATCTGGTCCAGAAGTGGAACTGCAAAAATCTGTTTTTCAGCCCCTAACAGGTATATTTTAACTGCAACACATTCAGCTGCCAGGAAGAAAAATATGTTGGAAAAGCCCTTAGGTCTCCTGACCAACATACGAATCCTACATTTTTCAAATACTTTCACTCATTCCCAAAGAAATTTCCCAAATAAAAATAAAACAAAAGAAACCCCGTACATAAAATATATCTGTCTCAGAAACTTATCTTTAAAATGCAAGCTTTTCACTCCAAAAAATAATAAAAATAAGATAACATTAGTAGAATTCTGTGATATATTGAATTTAGTAATAATGTTGTTTGGGGTTACTTTAACAAAGCTTATTGGTCACTAGAAAGGCTGTTTTCCATCTGTACTGAGGCAACAGAAAAAATATTCGTCAAATCAGTTTCACTTTCTGTTACAGTTAGCCTCACTTCCTAACTGTTCTTGCTGAGCATCCTATATTTCTCATGCAGTAAGGCCTAGACACTGCAGTGACAATATAAAACATGAATGAATGTCTCTTGTTATATAAGGAACCACAGAACCTTTTCCAAATAACTTTCTAAAAGTTTTTCTGTAGTCCTAAATATATGGTTGATCACAGCTCACACCTTTTTCTGAAAGTTTTTCATAAGACAAAACTTAATAGCTCCAAATTTTTAAAAATATATTATCTATACTAAATCTCAGGAAGCAAACAGATGCATTCAGAGGGAAAAGATGTAATCTTTTTTACCCTACACACGCACAATAGTTGTTTGATATGCTATAAAATCTGTCTATAACACATCTTTTTCTCTCCATGCTGTTGTGATTATCTTGTGCTAGATACTCTTGAAAGGTCTCAACAAGTAGATGTGGCAAATTAAAAACAAAGGGTCAAAATGAAACAAAACAAAAAACAAAGGGTCAAACCTAACTCCCTTGCCTACCCGCCAAAATCAAAAGCACCTTAACAGAAAACTAAAAACATCTAGAAAAAACAATGGAAATAGAATTCTAGGAGAATGGAAACATTTAATAATTTAGTAAGTGAGTTTATATCGACATGTCGATAAACATTTTGAAATGCAGAAAGCTTTCAAGAACTGTGAACCAAAATTTCACAAAGAAAACTTTTCTCTCACTAGGGAGCCAATATAATTCCAATTCAAAGGATGATTCTGCAAAGGAAGCCTAATCAATCCTTACCCTCCCACTCTTATCAAGTCCTGGGGTAGATTTTACAACTGGAGACTTGGAGAAAAAAAGATGTTTTAAATATTAGACTGGGCCCCAAGGATGAAACTCCAAGTCTACATTACTAAGAATAATGGCAACTGGAAAAGAAGAAATTCAATTTTCAAATATATGTGTAATGTAAGTTATGTGACAATACTTCAAAGAGAAATAAAAACAAATTATTATTATTATTATTTTTTTTTTGTGTGTGTGTGTGTGTGTGTGTGTGTGACCGGTAAGGGGATTGCAACCCTTGGCTTGGTGCCGTCCGTCCGCACCACGCTCAGCCAGTGAGCGCACCGGGCATCCCTATATAGGATCCGAACCCACGGCAGGAGCGCCACTGCGCTCCCAGTGCCGCACTCTCCCAAGTGCGCCACGGGGCCAGCCCAAAACAAATTATTTTTAATGATCATTACCCAGGGACAATTTTTAAGACCCCTTGAACAACTCCATCCTTGGATTTTATGGAAATATCAGCTTTCTAAATAAAATTTTTCTTAATGCCTATCTTCTTGGACAACCTGAACAATCTTTGATTGCTCTAATGAAGAGCAGGTACAACTAAGAGGGCTTGCTTTTATCCTGTGGTTATTAAATTCTTATACCAGAGGTATCAGAGTGGCATCCTGCAAACTCTAATGAACCCCCTAACAGCTGTTCCACACATCACTTTAAAAATCAGAAAAACACCTCTAATCTTTCTTAGAAAATAGGAACGTCTGGTAACACTGAACCTCACCCTCTCATAACCATCCACTGGAGTTGAGCAGTGGCTGTCTTTCTACAAGAGGCATACGCTCTCTAGTACCCCAGTCTTCACCTCTTCTCTCTACTTTATTCTTGACTATATCGCTGCCTGGTCTCCACAGGCATCTGAATTTTCGACCCCCATTCTGTACACTTCTTACTGTTCCGAACTGTCAAATATTAGACACTCTGATACACTTATTTCTCTTCTCTCTAATTCTGATTTATTTTGTGTCCATTCTTTTTTCCTTTCTCTAATCTGTCCAGGAACACCCACATTACTGTCTCAGACTCCAAAGACATGAGATTAGTGTCTATTTAAATCCACAGAACCATCTACTGAGAACATTAATATCAAAAACCCTAAAAAATTACTGATACACTATATAGTCCTATCCATCACCTTTCAGCAAAGCTGTCTTTGCAATGCCACTTTTCTTCAACAATTTTTTATTTTCTTTACACCTCTCCTTCAACTCAAATATAAAGAGTGATGCCACAATAAGCTGCATGTGACATTTTCATGATTTAACCTTTGACTCCCTTACATTTCCAGTTTTTGCATTAGAATATCATGTTGTGCTAGATTCCATGGATCTACAGCAGTCACATGACTTTTGGTTAAAGGCGATTATTGCATCTGGCCTCTGCTTCACACAACTATGCAGATATGGTTTAAAACCTGGTTGTTCCTAAGTAAATCTTCTGACCACTTCGCCCTGCAATAATACTACCCTTTATTTCAGAATGCTATATTTCTTATTTTCCACTTATATAGTGGCAGCTGGATCCCCCATCTGAAAACTACATAACGATTCATTTCTTTGCATACAGCTTTTCTCACTCACCTACAGTCACTGGAACTTATCACCTGAGAATCTAGAAATATAGGATTTGCAACACACCCCCTCCCAAGAACCCCAGAACAAGGCCCCACCTCACCTTAGCAGTTAACAGGAGAGTTTACTACAATATTAAAAGTAATAGAACGATCTTTTTCTGACCCCCAAAAGGACTAAAACTGAACGGAAATGAAAATGAAATGGAGAGTAGGAGACGTACCGCAGATTGAAACCTCGGTTGCTCTTCCTGGAATAAGAGAGAGAAAAAAAATAGAAAATATAGAAGTTATTTTTACACTTCGCATTCAATAATAAGAAAGAAAATGCCGGCGGCGGAGGAAGCGGCGGGTGGGGAGTCAGCCCAACACCCCTCCCTCCCTCTGCCCTCCCCACCCGACCCCACGCCCCCGCCCCCCCCAGCGGGATCCGGAGGCTGAGCAGGGGGGAGTCCCGAGCGCCGCCCCTCCTTCCGGGATCCGACCCGGGCCAG